TTTTTTTTTTTGTTATAAACAGTTTTGTAAATGTTCGATGAATAAATTTCAAATTTCAATTAATATTTTCTAATTCTAGTAACCAGAAATATAAAAACTTTCTCATTATTTTAGATTGATCGTATTAATATCACGCTCCTGTGATCATGGTTTTTCAGAACACGATAAGTATGAGATATTTGAATTTCAGCTTGGGGAAATTTCGAAAGATACTTGCGATGATTTCGTGCACGTTGATCCGAAGATTCACAAAAAGTTAACGGAGAAAGAAACGGCCTGTCGCAAAGGAGAGCGCGCAATCTGCATTCAAACCATCGTCCGATGTCTTCTATTCAAAGTCGTATTCTGCTTCTTCTCCTCTATTCGGCATTTCTCCTATTTTTTTCTTCTCTTCTCTTCTCTCTCTCTCTCTCTCTCTCCCTCTCTCTCTCTCTCTCATTTTTCTTATCAAAGAGAAAGAAACGCACATGTCCGCGCGCACGTAAAAGACGCACGAACGCCCAAATGAAGCAGACAGAATGTGGTCGATCGATCGCTGCTGTGCTGCCACCAACCGGAGGAACAGCTATATTCAACATTCTCATTCCACTTTTAATTTTTTCTATAAATATTTCATTTCCTGCATTGTTTGGGATAATATACAACAGATGGTGTCACCAATAAATTTAAATATCAATAATCTCTTAATAATTTGAATCGATCAGTAAAAATTCAAAATATTCTAGTTGGTAAACAAGGGACGTAACTGAACTTGACGAATACCGTATGGTTATATTTAAAGTGAATTTTCAATTTACACTGCATTCTGATCCTTACATCCCTTAATCCTCCTATTTTCTTATGATTTTACTTGCTTATTTTACGCTGCTTACTTTACGGCGAATTAACTTTATTATACTTTGGATTTTTATATGTCATTCACGAAAGAAACGATGCGTAAAAGTGAGAGGGAGAGACTGAGAGCGAGAGAGAGACTGAGAGAGAGAGAGAGAGAGAGAGAGAGAGAGAGAGAGAGTGAGCGAGTGAGTGGTTGAATAAATGAACTTGAAAATGTACAGATGAAAATTAATTGAAATGTATAAGAGTTAAATATTTATTATTAAAAAGTCCTATCCAATGAACAGATGCCGCAATTAGCGTTAACATTTATTACTGTTTAAAGTAAAAGTTTATCAATTATTATGATATATGTTTTTGTATGTATAGATTATGTAAAAACGTCATATTTTAGCAAATATACTCGAGTTCAAGATTTTCGCCAATTTTTCATAAAACTACTGTGTACATTAGAAAATTTTTTACTTCTGCCGGGCACGTATGTTGATGGAATGGACAAAATTTTGTAAACTTTTGTTGAGACTTAACAAATTTTCGATGTTTTGTCCCCTCCTTTTTGGCCTAATTTTCGAGGTCACGCCTTCATTTACATTGAGTCAGGTATTTGGTGGCTGCTCTCACGGGATACCATTAATTAATGTGGTCGTTGTGCAAATGCATAAATGTGCTCGCGTAGCTCCGCGGAGACTTGGTTCTTCGTTCGGACCATCACCATTATTAAGACCCACAAATAGTTTGTAATTTGAATGATGAATAAGTAGACCCGATGAGATGCTGAGATCGCACTACTGAGCAGCGTTCGAGCAAACATTATTAATTTCATTTTTTCAGTGCATTAACGATTTCCACGTAATCTCTTATCGCTTTATTATTTATTCAATCAAATGAAAAATAATGAAATGGGCATGTTTTAATCAAAGCGAGACGAATAATATAATAATAATTTTAATCCTTGAATTAATTTTTATAATAATGAATTGTATATTTAAGACAGCGAGTGAATAAATAAACCTCATAACACAATATCAATTAGATATATGCTGAATATACTAGTAATTGGTAATTAGCCGAATAACATCAATATATTGTGATTTCAATAGAATGGACGGTAGAAAAAAAAATTGTTTAATTAAATTTAATTTGAATTCAAAATTCATTAAATTGAATAAAAAAAGTTTCGTAAATATAAGAACGTATTTATTATTTCGAATGAAATATGACGATAGTCCTTCAACATATTCTTAATAATCGAATAAACACCAACCTTTTTACGAAATTGTTAATGATCTCTCAAGTACGTAACTGCCATTTAAAGCCTGGAATTATATTTATTCTTATCGTATTATCTTAACGCGGATTGAATAATAACCAGGAGAGATTTAATGGACTTTAAAGTATAGAGTGTTTAATCTCGAGCCAACCTTCTATCCTCCTCAAATAAAGCTGTTGTCCGCTGAATTATACCTTACAAGTGTGTACGAAGGACTTGCTCGTATATACTATAAGTATCAGCATTTCTATGCATATGCACAAAACAATAAATGAGGGCTTTTCTACATAAACATCCAGTCAGACAAATTTTACGGCTAAATAGGAGCAAATAGTCTATCCATTATTTTCCACATTAAAATATTTACATAGTTACTTTAAATTATAAACCATGAAATATTATTGATATAAAGAATCCTGTATTTCTCTTTTACTTTATATATATTACGCATTGTTGAAATTACTTATTATTATGTCATCTCTAAGTATATTCTTATTGTCTTTTTACATTGCTGCCATGGTCTTTTATATCTTTTATATCTCCATTTATCACAGATGTCCTTTTACGACCAATTGAAGTACATAAAAATACCTTCTCTTATAATTGCCAACTATTAGCCTCCAAATTCTATAGCATTATTTCATTAAATTTCGAGCATCCATTGCATTACAGCCATTGTATATCTTTGGGATATTATTGAATTTGCAAACCAAGCGAATATTTTTATGACTACTTTGCTTAAAAGTAAAAGACTTCTATCGATTATCATTCAGACAGAGCTTGGACAAGAAAGCACGCAGACCACAGCGCAAAAAGTATCGAAGTAAATTAATACCTCGATTTCTGGATTCTAAACACTTCGCCGTGAATTTCATCTCGCGAAATCGCCACTCTCCACTTTAATGGATGCATGAAATTGTTTCATGGGCGAGAATGAGGATAGCGAGGCAAATAGCGCAGTGCAGTGTTGTTTGCCTGCAGTAGTGCGGCTGCCACGAAAACGCTACCTCGACGTGCGTTGACTTGAACATTTGCGAATGCAACATCGAAGCTAAGCGGTAACAATTTTCATACTTTCGTAATCCTTTAGTCTCTCGGCTATTCTTCTATTTTTTCGTCTGACTTATTTGCTGGAATGAAAAACAGGAAAACACGAGTTGGCGAAGTAAAAGCGACAAGTTGTGTTTACAATCGTATTGCGAATGTCACGTAGATTATGTAAGAGCAGTTGTTAATAATAATACAATGATAATTGATATTTAGGATTTTTAATAAAGAAACGTATATTTTGTTTATTGTAAATATTCTTTACTCCAATATTAAAGCGTAAAGTTTTGTTTTTAGCATAAATAATACTTGTAAAGGGTGTTTTTATGCGAAAGCATTGTAATCACTGAATTTTCAAAGAATGCCGTTAGTAGTTAAATTTTTGTTATATATATTTATTATGACGTATTATAAGTTGAATGTCATTTGCTAAAAATATTCAGAAAAAGAATCTTAATTAAATGTCATGCATTATCTGTTAATGGTTGTAGCTTTGATGTAAATAGAATAAAATCAGAATACACACACACACACACACATATATATATATATATATATATATATATATATATATCGATCGATTGTATTCATTAAAAGTAAACTTAATCCTTAAATATATAAATTATTTTGACACAGAATATAAATTTCCATCGAAATTTATGATCAACAAAGTTTTTTCAAAACCATAAAATACTCGTTACGACTATTAAAGGTGTAAAAGTTTGCTGATCAGAACATAAAGTAAGATAGATACATTCTGAACTACTATATTTTTATGTTACACAGCTTGTATGATTTGTAATTCCAAGTCGTACCTCTTGAGGCATAAAACAAAAGTTCAATGTCTCGAGCAGATCTTATGCTTACTTACGCTTTTCTCACACTCACGTAAAAGAGTCACTGGAAAAATAACATAGACCATATCCTGATAGGTATTAAGTAACTTTATCCGGAAATTAATCGAGGGTATTAAAAGAATCCCGAACATTGCGTGGAAGATAGAGAGTAATAAGTACGTCTGTTTATCGGAAAAACATTAATTAAATTATAATCCTTCAAATTTAAACTGAAATTCTAAACTTGAGACGGGTACTTTAGCGAATCTCGAAACTCCAGTCTTATAATTATTTGGAGCCTAATGACCATTATTGAAAATGCGGAAATTTATTTAGTTGGAAGCACAATTCAAGATTTCGAATTAAATTCTTAATTGATTAAGTCATTTTAAACTAACAGCAGATAGCAATTTCTCTGTTATATAAATTATAAAAACGTAAAATAAGTTTGTTTAAATTGACGGTGTTATAGTAATTGAAACAAAAAAAAAAAAATTGGATATTCAATTTTGTTAATCATTTAATTTTTTAATACTAACTCGTTGCTTATTGTCTTGACTCTTCTCGGATACTTGAAACACTAAGTTTCTTAATTTATAAAAATCTACATAAAAATGTAAAGATTTACTTAGTTAGATAATCAATAGTTTTAACAAATAACCTAAAAACTTTATTTAATTATTATTTAATTATTTAATTTAATAATAAAAAGCTTTCTATAATAATTTAAATATTAAATAAAATGTCCGAGTCATTTATACTTTTGTAATTAATTAGACTATTTATATATATATATATATATATATACTTTTACATATAATAATACTTAATTTATAATATAATAATTAAATAATATATATGATTTCATTGTCTTATTTATTTGTTTTTTTTTTTGTTTTTTTTTTTTTTTTGGTTTTTGTTTTATGAATAAAAAAAATGCACGATCATATAAAGCAATAGAATAAAATAATTATAATTTGATCTGTAATTGTCTTCTTAAACTTTTTCAGTGCCGATGAAGGTTTCGACGGTACGTATCCAACAAACGTTGTGGTTAAAGAAAACGGAACCTGTCTATATGTACCTCCAGGTATATTCAAGAGCACCTGTAAAATTGACATTACTTGGTTTCCATTCGACGATCAACGTTGCGAAATGAAATTTGGCTCTTGGACATATGACGGATTTCAGGTGCGTTTAAAGTCTTTGATCTCATTCATTTTGAAGCTTCAAGCATATTATTTATTATTATCAAACCAACATTAAAATATAAATATAATTACCATAATTAATTAGTTTCAAGGGTATTTTATTCGCACAGCTTAATTATAAAACTCGTTTTAAGCGCACAAAGCATGCCATTAACTATCTCAACTGTCCATGGAAAATAATAAATCATTTATCTCCTTACAAAGAGTTGCAATGAAAGAGTATTAAAAGATTTTTTCCTCGCAAAATTTTATGACATTACGTATGTTTATACAAAATAAACAATTAATTAACAATAATTAATACTCACACAAATTCATATACGGTATAGAGTAGAGTATGTAAGGAATTCCATAATAATTACGAGAAAATTTTGCTTAAAATAGTTGAAGAAAACATTAACCATTGAATTAAATACTAAATTACATAACTTTTAAACATTCTTAAAGTTTTTAAGTAATCGCTCGTTTTAATGTATTCATAAAATATAATTTAATTATAAGTTTAATAAGTTGTAACTGATATTAAACGTTATCTTTTTATTAAATAATAGAGAGAAAACTATATTATATTTTTGACGAATAGTGGCTAAGGTTCTGTTTTAAAATAAATAGATGATTTTATGATTTGTTTGGATTTCCTTTATAGTTGGATCTTCAACTACAGGATGTCGCTGGAGGTGATATTAGTAGCTTTATAACTAACGGCGAATGGGATCTTTTAGGTAAAATATTTTGATTTTTCTTTATTGTCAGATTTATGCAATAGAGTAAATTATATTATAATAGATTTCAATTCCATTGTGAGTTATTTAAATCTTAGTACTTGGAGTAATTATACTCTTTCATTTACAGTAACAAAATAAATATATAATTATGAAATTTCTTTTTAATTTTATTTTTCTAAAATTAATAAAACTTCATGCTGCTCCTTTGACAGGCTAATTTTAATGTGGCACATTTAAATTATCAAGAAGATAATATACTTCCATGTGGCTTATCGCATGCACAAAAACTATTGTTATTATTTTTTCAAACTTAAGGCACTTCTCGTGCACTCTTTGCCATATCACAACAAATATCATATATTATTATATACAAAATGCATTGAATTAAATTTTACAATATACGTTGATAATAGTTGTTAAAATGGCAGTGGAATTTGTCTTTAACACTATCAAAATCAACATTGACATTATATCGTGTTTGTGACGTAAGTATATATTAATTTTCTAGGTGTGCCAGGGAAGAGGAACGAAATTTATTATAATTGTTGCCCGGAGCCGTATATTGATATTACATTTGTTGTCATAATAAGAAGACGAACACTATATTACTTCTTTAATCTCATTGTGCCATGCGTTTTGATCGCGAGTATGGCTGTTTTAGGCTTTACATTGCCACCTGATTCCGGGGAAAAACTATCTCTCGGTAAATAATATTATATCTAATTGATAATAATCTATATATATATGAAGTAATATATGTATAACTAAAATGAATATTAATAATTTTAGGAGTAACAATTCTTTTGTCTCTTACGGTGTTTCTTAATATGGTGGCGGAAACGATGCCTGCTACTTCGGATGCTGTGCCACTTTTAGGTACACTATAATTTCTGAAAAGAAATAAATGATAAATTACAAATGAAATTGAAAGAATGCAAATATCTTGGCGCTCAGTTAAAATAATAAAATAGTACAAAAATTAGTATTCACGTAATAATAACATTATGAAAATTGATATATATATATATATATATATATATATATATATTTTAAATGTTTTAAATATTTTATAAATATTCTGTACATCTTTTTGAATTATTTAACTTTTATTAATTTACTCCAGTTATTTCATTTACGGATATATATATTAAATTTCACACGAAGCAGAAAATATTGAAATATCGTCTAAATGAATTTTCTAAAAGCTTGTAATATATATTTGCAAGCCCATGGCAAATATGGCGATAAATATAATGAGCTAAATTATTCGACGGAATACTTTATTAAATTTATAATTTCTAGGCACCTATTTTAATTGTATAATGTTCATGGTGGCCAGCAGTGTGGTTAGTACAATTCTTATATTGAATTACCATCATCGTAATTCTGACACCCACGAGATGGCAGAATGGGTACGTTGGCGTAAAATAACTTATGCTAATATTATTATAATAAACTTATTATATTATAATACTTATTATAATAGATTCGTATATTTAATTAACTATTTATCTTTTTATTAATCCATTATACGTCATTAAAATTCAATTCATATGAATATTTTTTATTTATATCATAGGTGAAAGTCGTCTTCCTAGATTGGCTGCCTTGTATATTACGAATGTCAAGGCCAAGCCAAGATGATGATGAGACTACACAAAAGTCTCAAAAACCTTCTCCAGTAACTGGTATGTCTATGTTTTTTTAGGCTGAATATATATATATATATATATATATATATATATATTGTTTTTAATTATTTTTTATATAAAATTATATATTAATTATTTATCATTAAATAATTAATTGATTTAAAACAAAAACTTATTCTTATCGCAGATTAAGTTTCAATTGTATCTAATATATATATATATATATATATAATTAATTAAATACATTTATTTATTTTCGAATATAAATTAGGTAAGGATAATTAGGTTGCAAAAAAGAAATGAAGTAATTTCACGTTAATTTTTTTAGTAATTATTTAGTAGTCAAAGTGCATTATTCTATATAAATTTTAATGAAATTCAAATTAAATTAAGTGACAAAACATTTAAATCTTATAGCATTTAATTATTAGTGTAATGCAAGATCATTTTTTCAATTAAAATCTGTTCATTTTTTGCTAAAATTTTTCATATCCTTAAAGACAAATCTACTATTCATCATTCACTTGTTAGTATTATTAACTTTAAGAAGTGTGCAATTTCACTTGAATTTACGCAAAAAAAAGTAACAGAATTATATTAACAATGTCTATATATATGCAAATTTTGGTAGTTTATAGTTATTATTTAATCTTTTGTAATGAAATTACACGAGATTTAGCATTAAAGGAAATTGTTGTTATATGACAAAGAACGAAAGTAAATTTAATTATTCAATTCCAAAATTGTATTTTTGAATAATTCATATAATAATTCTATTCAATGTGAATAGTATACAAATTCCAAATAGGAAAAACGATGGAATAGGAAGGGAAGGTTTCTATTTGAGTGGCCTCATAAGAATGTGATTGAAAGCAATCAACGAAGTTTCCGAACCCTCGGGATGATCTATGGCACACGCGTTATATATGATATGATATGATATGATATATATATATATATATATATATATATACATATATATATATATATGCATAAGTCTCAAAAGTTGATTCATTCATGCCACACTACACAGTTCCTTTGATATTTCTCGGGCGCGCTAATATATTATATAAATTATTACATTTAAGTTAATTTTATTACGTTAATAATTTTTTTATATGTATTAAATTGATTACATTAATCATTTTTTTTTCATTTTCATTATTTCCACGATAATTATATTAAATTATAAATATACATTCTTATTTCATACATTGGACTAGACTATTTTATATATACGATTCGGCTTTTATTTTTATTTTATGGTGCACAATAATAATTTTATCAAGTTTTAAATCATAATTTACACACACGTCGCAAGTGAAATCAAGCCCTATGAATTAAATGATACATAATAATGAAATTACAATTTACGTTTGTGAATGTTTTTCGAGCCTTCGATGACATCCATATATCCCTAATTCTCGCTCATGCACAGGTACAAGTAAGGCATACGGCGATCTGGAGTTGCACCAACGTTCAAGCAAATCTTTGTTAGCGAATGTTCTCGACCTCGAGGACAATGCCCTTGCATCGCACAACAATCTGTTGAACAACGTGTACAGCACTCCGGGTCCGCATCACCACGGACATGTGCACGTCACGCCTCATCATCATCATCAACCGCACACGGCCACGACGACGCCCCACCACCAGCACCAGGTGCCGTTGGCCCATACATCTTACCCACCTCCGGCACCGACGGCTCACCAGCTCGGGCACACGCCCCACCATCATCCTCATCCGCAGGATGGGACAGGCGGCGCTCAGGTTGAGACGATCCTGCAAAGCGCCTGCTTTTGCGCGCGCTACGAGCTTATTCTTATCCTCAAGGAAATCAAGGTAATCCACTCATTTCTTAATCATAATATATAGGAATAATTAATCTTATTGTCGACTATTGCATTTTAAACTAACAATAAATAGGGAGATCAACGTTACTGAAAAATGATGCAGTTTTATCTCTTCTATTGTCCTCGTCGTTATTTATTTTACAAAATCTTTATTATTGGACAGAAATTTCGTGTATAGTAAACTTTAAGCTACGTGAAAATCGCGTATCTATAAGTTTATTAGCTAATATCAAGAATTTGCTTAATACTCTTATCTTGAATTTATCTAGTAATACAATAGAAAAATTATCATTTATAATATCGATAGCATTGAAGTTAGAAGAGTAGTCAATTACATTCTTTTGAGAATCATATAATACGAATTTTATAAATTTCATCATTTTTAAAATAACTTTAAAGCCGTAAATTTCTGGGAAAAAATCATCTTTTGAGTTTTAAAACAAGTATGTAAAGTAAAGTTGCATCTATTCTGAAATATTTCTAAATATTTTTCCTTATACTATAATTTAAAAATCACCGTTCTCCTTAATTTTTGTTTAACTTTATACTTTTATACATAAAATTCAATCTGATATTCTGTATAAACACGTGTAGAGCAGACTCATGATTTACGTCTAACTAAATTTGGATAAAGCATTGACATACATTGCACACAAGAAATTCATTTACCTATAGGGAACTAGGAATTGTAAATATATATATATATATATATATATTAAAATATTTACAATATATATTAAATTTTATATGACTTTAATTATATATATTAATTTAATTGACACTATTGCTCATATTTCAAATTTATCGACTTCTTACGTTGCTGACAAATTACAAATATAAAAGGTAACAAAATTACGACAAAAAAAAAAAAAAAATAGAAAAAAACAAAAAAACGAATGAAAACCATAAACTTTATTACAAATGACATTTCCAAAAGTTCCTTATGAAATAGTTTATGAGGGTAAATATTTATATTTCGTTTCAAAAGTAGGACAATAATTTATACATTTAATATTTACAATAATTTATGAATATAATTTATGTAACAGAGTGAATTGATTATTTTAATTAATTCAGAAATTATTTTAGTTCATTATTGAAATAATATGATCAATATCATTAAATTATAACGGCAAACTCATAAATTGGAAACATAATATGAAAAATACCTAATAATATAGAAAACTGGAAGAGTATTTAAAGAATTTTAGAAATTTTATTTTCGCGACATTATCTTATTTACAAAAAGGATAATGTATTAAAAAGAACAAAGTAAGTTTATCGTATTATTTACTCATAATTATTCAATTTTCAGATAATCACTGATCAACTGAAGGACAACGAGGTTCAGACGAAGATTACCAACGACTGGAAATTCGCTGCGATGGTAATTGACAGATTGTGCCTAATCATTTTTACTCTGTTCACGATAATCGCAACCATCACCGTCCTATTCACGGCACCACACATCATTGTCACGTGATTTACGAGCCTCTCACAAAAAAAGAGGACGTACAGAGATTGCATCACAGTATTCTGCCATAAGTACGGCCATATTGCCGTTGTTATTGCTGTTCAATTAAAAGGGACACATTGATGAATGTCACATTTGTTATATCTAACTCGATTTGCTTCAATTTTTCAAAGTACTCTGAATGTCAGGAGTTACTTTTTAAAATTATTGAAGAATAAAATTGAATAACGAAGGGAAAATGTGAACGTCATAATAAAGGAAAATGAAAAAAAAAATGGGATAAAGAGGAAGAGTAGAAATTAATGGAATAGAGAAGAGGATGAAAACATGCTTAGAAATATGAGAAAAAATTATTTATTCTAATCATAAGTATAAGTAAAGAAATGATAATAAGAAGTTATGATACAACATGATTAATCTTTGTTTCGTTGTCTATTTATCTTTGAAGAGGAAAGATAAAATATACGTATAATTTTAAAGATAAAAGTGATATAATATACATAATTTCTTTGATTACCTTTGTAACTTTGATACAAAGTAAAGCCTTCAGAACCTCATAAATAAATATTTCATTTAAAAAAAAAATTGTGCATATGATTACGTATTCATGAGCATACTTATTTTCATAATATTAAAAGATATTCTGGCAAAAATCTTTTTCCTCGAATCAATTGTACAACACATTTAGTTATTTCAATACTAATATATTTATCGTATAAAAGATAATCCACAAACGTGAATTTAGAATCATTATAGGCATATTGAGATTAAAATATTACGAATCATATCACTTTTTCGAATGCATAATAAAAATCAATGAAGAATGGAAAGGGTAAATAATATGGAACAAAATTTCGTTTAGTAAACTAACATATTTGCTGAAATGTTTAAAAATATAAAGCAAAGCAAAAAAGAAGAGAAAAAAAAACGAAAAACATATAACAATGAGAATATCATGAAAATTTACATATTCAATATGTAAATTTTCGCATTTAATAAAATATAAACTGCCATGCTGATCTAAATATGCCAGTGAATTTTAATACTCTAACACAATACCTGCAACCCCTTTCCCAAGTATATACGGATACCGAAATATATTTATGTTATATGACACGATATGCGGTATAATTAATATAAAAGACAATTGTCGCCGTTTCAAAGAACATGAGAAATTAAAAGTGAAATGTAATAAACAAATGGAAAATTTGGGCAGGCAAAAGAATGATTTACATTATGATTACTTACATAATTATTTTATACAATAATGCCGATAATATTTACAATATACACATGGATATAAAGAGAAAATTATACAAACATTATATGTACAAAAGTTTATATAGCACATACCGCCTATTAAGAATCGTGATTTTCTCTTAAGCCTAGTAATAACGATACGAACGTCGTTTAAAATGACGATTTGTTATCATTATATATTTAAATAATTATATATATATATATATATATATATATATATATATATATATATATATATATATAAAAGGAAAAATAAAAATAAATAAATAAGTAAAAAATTCAGAGAGTATACTAAATCTTATAATGATAATAAAATTACATAGCGATATTATTTTATACAAATTTAAAAATTTAATATTTTCTAAGTTACATTGTCTTTTATATATATATATATATATATATATATTTAAGCTAATTTCATAAAACAATATAGTTTCATTTGTATTTGAATAATGTATTGGCATTTATAAATTATAAATGAATTATAAATTATAAATATATAATTATAAATTATGTTTAGTTCGAAAATGTTATAAGACGTAAAGTTTTTATTTGTTCATCAAATTGAAACATATTTTAAGCGATATATAAGAGAAAATTTTATGCACATTCTAGTGTTCTTCTTCCTCTTCCTCTTCATAGGTATTGTCCACTTGACAAAACAAAAACAATAAAGAAAAAAATAAATAAAAAAAAAACACTCGTAGGGCATTATATGAACACAGCAACAAGATTAAAAGAATAATAAAACAGGTTTATCGTGAGTCTCGAATAACATTAAAATTTATCATGACTCAGACAATTAACTAACTTATAGTCTAAGGAAGTATAAAAACAAGAGATAATTCTTAGATGATGAGACAACGTGTAGATCTCGTTGATTACTTATATAGTATAGAAAAAAAATAAATAAATATAAACAGTTGAGTATAAGCGTTAATTACGCAAACGTATATCTTAAAATGATAATTTTGCGTTACACGACGAAACATTCCTCTTTTCAATAAAAGCAATGAATGGCAACTTTGAAATTTAATATTGTTCGTAGGAGAATTACAATGGTTATGTTACCTATTTGAATCTTCTATTATAATCTTTCAATTGTCTAATTGTATTTTAAAATAAGAAAAATTTTATATATGTAAAAAGATCAAAATCTATATTAAGAGACTTTTTTTCTAAATTTACATACGATAATTGAAGAAGATTATATACAGTCATTTTAGCGAGGCTTATGATACCACAAGATTACATGAGAGCCTTTGAGTGGCATATAATTTCCCAGTCATCTCATACATTGCGAAAATAAGACATGGTAAAGAGAATTTTTAACTTATTTATTGAAAAATAATTGAGAGACTTTTCGTGGCGCGCAGTAGCGCAAATTCAGCAATTTGCAGACGCGACATCCAATCACGTTAAATCTTAAATAAGTATTAAAGTTGCGAGCAAAAGAAGGCGAAAAATGTTGTTAATGATGTTAAAGGGATAAATGAAAATATAACTATAACGATTAATAAATAAAATTATTGATAATTAATTAATAACAATATGAAAAATATGAATTAAGAAGATAAAATAGGTGAAATATTGCGTACCGTCATCGGTTGATTATCGACTTTCGAACTCAAAACTGAGAATTCATACTTGCGATCGATAATAATAATAATTATTATTAAATATTGTATAACAGAAAATAAAAAGTAATGTGTAAGCTGAGATGGGGTTAATGAGGTTTGCTAGTAAAAGGTTGCCTAGCTAGATTTACAATTCCCATGCGAATTTTTCAAATTTTTTCATTAAAGAGAGCTACTTAGTCGTTCCAAAATCAGTGGATAAGCATATAACGATCTTAATAATTTTTACTTTAACTATTTTATGAGTGAACTAAAAATTTTAACCTGATATACTATCTATCTGACAAATAAATGTTAAGAATAATTAATAATTTTTGTACGTCGATTATTAAATGACATTTCTAAGCATCTTCGTATTTACCAAGATTCGTCGTTCGTATTTTCACTGATTTGGAATGCAGAATTTAAAGAGCGTAATAAATTATATTATATAAATAGAAATAAACGAACATCTATATGGATGAAAATACACTGAAAAATATTATTGATACACGATAAAAAATAATATCTTACTCAAAGAAGCAAACGGAGACATTTGATTTCTACACAATTCGGAATTCCAGAATACATTCTTCATTAATGTTTATTTCTTATTTACTCATTATTTTATTTATTTGTACTTATTCATTACTTAATTATCGATATTTGATAGGAGCATTTGACATAATAATTATTTGTTGTCTGTCTGTTATTATTATTGTCTGTTCATTATTCATAATAAAAATAATGCTAAAATTCATGTAAAAAAAAAAAAAAAAAAAAAAAAAAAAAAAAAAATAATACGAAACTTTTTAAAAGAATTAACTAAAATTTTGATCATTATTAAAGTTAAATTAAAAAAAAAACTTAGTAATTTGTATTGATAATTCTTTTTCGTATAAAACTTATTACATATTGCTATTACTTAGCACATAACTCATTATTAACTATTTTATTGAAAATTATTAATTTCAACGATATTATCTTATTTATTATGCAAGTTTATGCAAGGATATTTGTCAAATAAATCATTTAAAAGCAACACAATAAAAAATACTGTGCCATCGGAAGGCATAATCATAAAATCCGTATTGCTCTTTATTATTAACTTAGTGATAATATTCTCTAGAGAAAACGAAGCATAAACTAAAGGCAAACTTCCTTTTGTTGAAAGCATATAAAACGTTATTAAAGAAGAAAATATTAAACGTGTATTGTTAACACATAATCTTTATATATTTAAACTCTTGAACGATAAACTCATATTCGTATAAACACTGAACTATGTTAATAAAGGAATAAAAATAACGACAAATGGTAAAGAATCTTTTAAAAACTGCATACAGAATACTTTCAGTTGAAGGAAGGAATTCGTCGTCAGACAAATGATCAAAATGTAAAGAACAATGGGATAAATTGAAATTGAATATCCTGCGAAAAAGCACCTCAGGCTTTTGCAATCAGTTTTAATATAGTTCAGTAAAAATTACAAACGACTCCATTAATCTATCTAAATTATGTAAACTAAAGGACAAAGATATTTTAAATTTGTTTCAAAATTCTATCTCTCTACCGAATATATAAAAAATTAATATACATCAGAAGATCGAAATTTTGTTCAATAAAAAATTCCTACACTGAGAATTTTAAATTATATACATCACATAGGCATAAATGAAGTAAAACGTATATAAGAATAAAGCAGATAAAAATATGCTATAATTGAATTAGTCATGCACGTGATTGATGAAATAACGAAATGACAAATAACTGAGACAGAGATAGATGGAGAGTAGAGAAACATTGTTTCAAAATACTAAACACTGTATACATATAGCACATGTATGTGTATGCTAAAAGTAACATTACAAAGAAAGATTGATTATAGAAGGACTGTATAGAGGATAAACAAATTCATTAACGTTAAAGAAATCTGATGACATATGGTAATATATAAAACAATAGAATAATGTAAGTTTCTGTAACCTCAAAAGTATAATACCTGTATTTTCTTAATATCAATTTTTGAAAAGTAAATCCTGGATAATTTTTTACAATGAATGTAATAAATTCTGTCATTATTTTATCTATTCATAATGAATTATATTATGTCCATAAATTTATCAGCCACTTAAGCATTATTAAACTTCTTATATACAGTTGATTGATAAATCAAAGAGTGTGAAAATTTAAATAAAGAAATTAATAGAAAAGCATCAAGCTACAAGTTATAAATAAAATAATAAAATGGATATCGAAATTTTACATGATCTCATTCCTTCTCTTTCGTTCTCTTCTCTCTATCCGTCTCTCTCTCTCTCTCTCTCTCTCT